CCCTGGCAAAGCTTACCTTGTCATCTAAATGGTGACTAGGGCACAATAGAGTTGGGAATACATATTGTAAAAAAAAAAAGCCTCAACTGTTCCTTTAAGCATTATACAATATTAAGGATTGACTAAACATACAGCGATGGTTGAATTTCTGGCGATGAAAGCTAATCTAACTTTCCTCCGACGATTTATTGGACGACACATACATTGAGCAAATACAAGAAGGCACAGCTGCAAACGACATCACTTTCATTGCTATCTCCTGTTTCAGAAAAAAAAAATTATAAGTGAATATCAAGTATCTTCTTCCATTGCTCAGTATATAAAAAGGAAGTCTTTATTGTTGCCTCTTGGTAAGGTTTTATAAACTAGTTAGAATAATATTAGTTTGATTTCTATATCTTAAAGATGGTAATTTTAATAAGTTATTGGGGTCCATTCATTAAACAGTGGGCCTTATTTTCTGAACTGTGAATTGTACATTGAGTCAGAGAATTTGGCCAAAAAAGCCAAGCGGTCAGTTTAGCGTAGTTGAAGAATTTTCCCAAATTAAGGCATAATTTTTGCAGTTCAGTTTATGATTCAATTCTATTTGTTGCCTAGTGATTAAATCTCAGTGAGTATTCGTGACCTGAGGACTAACCTGAAAATTTAGGTCAAAATATCATCAAATCAAATCAAAGAATGGATAAAATAATTGCCAAATTAGTGAATTAAAGGGATATTCCAAAAACCATAAAAATATGTTAATGTATTGGTTTTGATGCAAGGACTCTCCCTCTTGTTTATGTCAAATGTTTTCAATCATTTTTAGAAAAGACAGAGGATACCTCTGTGTTCAAAGTCAACACCCCCAGCCTGGGACGTCATATGTAAAGGTAAACCCTCCAGAATATTTGTTCTTGTAGGCTGGATTTGCCCGTGCAGATATCCCGTGCAGATATCCATTAGCACTCTTAATGGATTGACACAGACTTCACATATCAGCACAAATATTTTGGATTAGAAACATAGAAACCAAGAAACATAGAATGTGACGGCAGGTAAGAACCATTTGGCCCATCTAGACTGCCTAATTTTCTAAATACTCTTAATAGTCCCTGACCTTATATTACAGATAGGATAGCCTTATGCCTATCCCACGCATGCCTAACCCCTTAAGGACTTCGGGTGTGCTATGCCGTCCTTGGGGACCCGGCTCTAAACGCCTCTGCTGTCCTATGCACTTAGTAGCCACTTAGTCACAAACACTGGCCAAAATTGGCATTCAAGTTAGTTTTTTGCATTTTTCACACACAAACAATATGAACGCTAACTTTGGCCAGTGTTTGTGACTAAGTGGCTATTAAAAAATACTGGACATACCCCATTTGCAATACCTTGGCTTGTCTTCTTTTGCAAATGGTATCCTTTGGGTAATTCTCATTCCTGGGCTACCATACGGCTCAAAGGCAACGTAACCAATCTGGCGAATTTCAATGTGACAAAACAGAAAAATGTAGCATGTTATATTTGACCCTGTAACTTCCCAAAACACCAAAAAACCTGTGCATACAGGTGATATTCGAAAAATTAGAATATCGTGCAAAAGTTCATTTATTTCAGTAATGCAACGTAAAAGGGGAAACTAATATATGAGATAGATGCATTACATGCAAAGCAATATAGTTCAAGATGTGATTTGTCATAAGTGCGATGATTATGGTTTACAGCTCATGAAAACCCCTAATCCACAATCTCAGTAAATTAGAATATTGTGAAAAGGTGCAATATTCTAGGCTCACAGTGTCCCACTCTAATCAGCTAAATAAGCCATAACACCTGCAAAGGGTTTCTGAGCCTTTAAATGGTCTCTCAGTCTGGTTCAGTAGGAATCACAATCATGGGGAAGACTGCTGACCAGGGTCGGACTGAGAACCCTCAGGGCCCCCGGGCAAAATAAATCAAGGGCCCCCTTACAGGTCCCACCCATACTCTGCAGCAAGCACCACCCTTGTCCCGCCTCCATGCACCGCCTCCAGCCACACCCTACACAATCTTTAGACACAAGGAACAAAAGGGCAAATAAGCCCTCAGAGGCCCCAGCAGAGACTACAATTGAGGGCTAATGGGCCATGGAGAGGGGTATTTCTAGCAGAGGCTATCTCAGTGTCCTTTAGAGAGTGTGTTAGAAAGAATCCCCTCCAAGCCCCATTAGAGACTACAATGGAGTCTAATAGGCTTGGAAGGGGGTCTTTCTAACAGAGGCCATCTCAGCGTCCATTAGATACCCACTGCTGGAAACAGTCGCCTCCAGGCCCCAGTAGAGACTACAATTGAGGGCTAATGGGCCATGGAGGGGATTTCTAGCAGAGGCTAGAGTCTAATGGGGCCTGGAGGGTGGTCTCTCCAACACTCTGGTTCCTATTCACAATATAGCAACACAACATAGCTCGCTGATACCTAAGCCAAGTTGGCTCCTCTTACCTTAATTACTGTTGCTGGCTGGCAGTCTGTGGGCTTGCTGGCTGCGGCTGGCAGGCTGTGGGCTTGCTGGCTACTGCCGGCAGGCTGTGGGCTTGCTGGCTACTGCCGGCAGGCTGTGGGCTTGCTGACTGCGGCTGGCAGGCTGCGGCTTGCTGCCTGCGGCTGGCAGGCTGTGGCTTGCAGGCTGTGGCTTGCTGGCTGCGACTGGCAGGCTGTGGGCTTGCTGGCTGTAAGCCTGTGGCTTGCTGTAGGCCTGTGGGCTGGCTACTGGCCTGTGGGCTGGCTAACTGGCTGGCTACTGGCCAGCCTGTGGGTTGGCTGGCTGGCTACTGGGGCACTTGTAGATTATTTAAAGAAATAATCCATGCACATTAACCACTACTGCTCCAGAGTAAGTAGTCAAACCGTTTAAGAACAGTTTGACAACTTACCTGGGGTCTGCTGGGATATGGGGCTGTAGTAGGGAACAGGAGCAGTGGTGCAATGTGTGTGAAAGGTTCAGTGTGTGGGGGGGAGGGGGTGTAGTGTGTGAATGTGTAGGGTGTGTGGGCTGTGTATGTGTGTGGCAATGTTAGTATGGGGGGCTGTGTATGGGGGTCTGTGTGTATATGGGTGGGCAGTGTATGTGTGTGTGTGAGGCAATGTGTGTAAATGTGTATGGTGTGTATGGGGGCAGTGTGTGAATGTGTATGGTGTGTGTGTGGGGACAGTGTGTTTATGGGGCTAGAGTTCACTCTCACCACTGCGACCACCAGGAATCCCTGGGGGTCACAGTGTTGAGAGTGAACTCTAGCCCGTAGCTCCAGGGCTAGAGTTGACTCTCGCAAGAGCGGTAACGTTGCCATGGTAACCGCGGCAACGCTCTGTGCTCGCACAAGAAGGACCCAGAGGAGCTGCAGGGTGAGCTCCCAGGTCCTCTCTTCCTCCCTCCCCTGCCCGCACGGTGCCTGCGGACAGGGAAGGGGGGGCAATTGCCCTGTTGCCCCCCTGGATCCACCAGTGATATCTACAGCCCTTCTGTGTGCCTTTTTGTCTCCCCCTGTCCCTCTGTATGTTTCTTTCTCCCCTCTCCTTCCCAATCTCTCTTACCCCTCTGCCTCTTTCTCCCTCTCTTCCACTGTTTTTCTCCCCCCTTTCCCTGTCTCTCTCTCCCCCACATCTCTCTTCCTCTTTGTCTCTTTCTCCCCCTCCCCATCTCTTTCTCCCCCTGTGTCTCATTCTTCCCTCTCTTTCTCCCCCCTCCCCCAACTCTCTATTCCCCCTCTTTCTCCCCGTGTCTCATTCTTCCCTCTCTGTCTCTTTCTCCCCCTCCCCATCTCTCTATTCCCCCTCTTTCTCCCCGTGTCTCATTCTTCCTCTCTGTCTCTTTCTCCCCCTCCCCATCTCTCTATTCCCCCTCTTTCTCCCCGTGTCTCATTCTTCCCTCTCTGTCTCTTTCTCCCCCTCCCCATCTCTCTATTCCCCCTCTTTCTCCCGTGTCTCATTCTTCCCTCTCTGTCTCCCCCCTCCCCATCTCTCTATTCCCCCGCTTTCTCCCTCTGTGTCTCATTCTTCCCTCTTTCTCCCCCATCCCCATCTCTCTATTCCCCTCTTTCTCCCCCTGTGTCTCATTCTTCCCTCTCTGTCTCTTTCTCCCTCTCCCCATCTCTCTACTCCCTCTTTCTCCCGTGTCTCATTCTTTCCCTCTCTGTCTCTGTCTCCCCTCTATCTCTCTGTTCCCTATTTCTCCCCCCTCCCCATCTCTCTGTTCCTCCCTCTTTCTCCCCTCTCCCCATCTCTCTGTTCCCCCCTCCCCATCTCTCAGTATGGCCCCCTCTTTCTTAAGTCTGAGGGGGCCGGCCGCGTTTCATGCTGGAGCCGCCGGACCGGGTGGCAGCCTCGCCGGTCCGGCGGCATTCCTCTCAATAACGCTGAAGGAGGAGGAGCATGTCTCTCTGTCATGCTCCTTTGTGGTTCCCACATCCTGTGCTGGGTATTGTGGGAACCGCCCCTGCTGCTGACCTGACAGTTGTGCAGAAAACCATCACTGACACCCTCCATAAGGAGGAAAAGTCTCAGAAGGTAATTGAGAAGGAAGTTGGATGTTCCCAAAGTGTTGTATCAAAGCAAATTAATAGAAAGTTATGTGGAAAGGAAAAGTTTGGAAGAAAAAGGTGCACAAGTAGCAGGGATGACCGCAGCCTGGAGAGGATTGTCAGGAAAAGGCCATTCAAAAGTGTTGGGGACTTTCACAAGGAGTGTGTCTATTGCTGTTCCATTTTGGAAGATTGGTTAAATATTTTGTTGGCAAGTCTATTGCTGTTCCATTTTGGAAGATTGGATAAATATTTTGTTGGCTTATGTATGGGGTTGCCTTTGGGATCCTATTGTGTATCAGCCAGGTCTTGTTATATGTTGCTAATATGTTGCAACTTTAATCAGTGGCACTTTGCTCCTGGTCAGGCAAGTCATAAGTTTGCATTGTGCGCATGCGCACGTCAGTGACTTGACGCGCATGCGCCGAGTGCCGTTCTGGTGCACATGGCTGGTGCCTTTGCCCCGTTGACGCTTGCGCGTCTTTGCGCATGCGCATTTTATGTATGGGGCGGTACATTTCGGCATTTAATATTTGATGGCGAACCGACATTTGTGGAGCTTGAATAAATAATAAATAATTAATAATGAACATATGACTATTATATTGTCATTAGTTTTGGATTATTATGTTTCTTTATCTATTATTATTAATAGTCTTTGGAGTAATTTCACGATCATGTGATTAGTATACTTCAATTGGCCATTTGGTGTCACATGGTTATTATCATGTGATTTCACCTGGAAATGCAGTTATTTAAAATCTTCTGCTGCTCCATAAGGTAAAAAGATACTACTGAATACAGCTGTAATACTATTTAACTGATTAGAGTTTAATGGTTGAATTTGTGATATGATTGGCTGATACCCTTTGATCTCTTTGACACCCCCTGATAATGTGATTACTATTGGAGAGCTAATTAATCTTTTAATTAGTGTTATTATTATCACCTGTTTATAACATATGTTTGATAATATACCACATGTTTTTTCACTTATTTGAATATTGTATACACCTATATATTGTGTTTTTGTATGTGCTACATTAGCTTGAAAAAAGCCCTGTTGGGGCTGAAACGTTGCTTTGTAGTTCCTGGTCCAAATAAATTGCCTTAAGAATTGGAAACTGTTGGAGTGCCTTGATCATTTTCTACAAATTTCACAAGGAGTGGACTGAGGCTGGAGTCAGTGCATCAAGAACCACCACACACAGACGGATCCTGGACATGGGCTTCAGATGTTGTATTCCTCTTGTCAAGCCGCTCCTGAACAACAAACAACGTCAGAAGTGTCTTACCTGGGCCAAAGAAAAACAGACCTGGTCTGTTGCTCAGTGGTCCAAAGTCCTCTTTTCTGATGAGAGCAACTTTTGCATCTAATTTGGAAACCAAGGACCAAGAGTCTGGAGTAAGACTGGAGAGGCACACACTGCAATATGCTTGAAGTCCAGTGTGAAGTTTCCACAGTCTGTGTTGATTTGGGGAGCCACGTCATCTGCTGGTGTTGGTCCACTGTGCTTCATTAAGTCCAGGGTCAACACAACCGTCTACCAGGAGATTTTGGAGCATTTCATGCTTCCTTCTGCAGACGAGCTTTATGGGGATGCTGACTTCATTTTCCAGCACCTGCCCACACTGCCAAAAGCACCAAAGCCTGGTTCAATGACCGTGGGAATACTGTGTTTGATTGGCCAGCAAACTCGCCTGACCTGAATCCCATAGAGAATCTATGGGCATTGCCAAGAGAAAGATGAGAGACATGAGACCGAACAATGCAGAAGAACTATTGAAGCATCCTGGTCTTCCATAACACCTCAGCAGTGCCACAGGCTGATAGCTTCCATGCCACGCCGCATTGAGGCAGTGATTGCTTCAAAAGCACCCAAACCAAGTACTGAGTCCATATGCATGCTTATACTTTTCAGAGGTCTGATATTGTTCTGGGTACACTCCTTGTTTTATTGATTGCAGGTAATATTCTAATTTACTGAGATTGTGGATTTGGGGTTTTCATGAGCTGTAAGCCATAATCATCGCACTTGAACTATCTTGCTTTGCATGTAATGCGTCTATCTCATATATTAGTTTCCCTTTTTACGTTGCATTACTGAAATAAATGAATTTTTGCACGATAATTTTTCGAGTATCACCTGTATAGTAAAATTCCAAGTTTTGTTTATGTTTTATTTTGATGAAAACGTTTACATTTGGCTTAATCCTTAAGGGCTTAAACTCCTTCAATGTATAGAAACATAGAATGTGACGGCAGATAAGAGAATGGTGTGGCCCCTGCATACTATGTACCAGGCTGGTGGAATGGGTTTTTGGTAACAGGATCATCTGTTTTCATTTAGTTTGCGATCCAAGCAGAGTAGCAAACCCATAGATTACATTGTTAAATTGATTAATACAATATTTTCCTGCCAAGTGCAAGTATAAATGTAACAAAGAGAGACAAATATCCAACAATTCTGAAGGGAGGTCACCTGAGGGACACAGAGATATTAACTGACTAACAAATACTGTTTACCTATGTAAGAAAAATAGCGTTTACATTTAAAAACATTTTTTTTACTAAACGGCAAAATAATAAATCAATTACAAATAATGTACCAAATAAATTGCACTAATTTTACTTATGTTTCTAGTAAATAGTTATGTAATATTCTGTTCCATATGATTGTTAACATATAATTTTATATTGCTTCATGAAAACCACATTAACACCTTTTAATATGTGTTTCACGTGACACACCAATTTCACAATTAAGTGAATGAGAGATTAGTGACATCTAGTGGTCATTCCAAGTTAAACAACATTAATTACATCACATATTTCAAACACATTTTATGTAAAGGTTTGGTTTTCTCAGCAAAAGAAAAATATACTTGTTAGAAAACACAAAATGACAGAAGAGACAGACATGGCGTGCTGAACTGACTGGCCAAAATAATGGAAATGCAAATCTCTAACAAAAATATTTGCATCCATTTGGAGAATTTGGAGGTCGAGGCAACACCTTTAACTCATTGTCATGTTCCACCAAACCATTCCTGAACAATCTTCAGTGTGGCAGTGTGCATTGTCCTGATTAAAGATGCCACTGCTATCAGGGAATACTATTGCCATGTTCCCATAGAACATTTTGCTGTCATCTCTTCCTCAGGTAAACAACATACATGCAACGGGCCTTCCATCTAATCTAAAAGAAAACGTGATTCACCAGACCAGGCAACCCTCTTCACTGTTCCATGTTCCAGTTCTGATGCTCACATCCTCATTGACGGGAAGTTCAGTGTAGGACAGGGGTCATCATGGGTACTCTTACCAGTCTGCGGAAATTGCATGGACATACTGACATTCATATACATTCATATGTACTAAGAATGAAGTACACACATACATTAATGGACACATATACACAGACACACACATTAATATACATAACTCATACATATTCACACACATTCAAAGACAAACACACAATGTATACAGACACACATCCTTGAATACACACATTCATACACATACAAATCCACACAATAACATTCATATGCACACTCATAATTACATCCATAATTTGCACACTCCAAGCTATTAATTAAACAGCGGGGAGGTACTCTCCCGGATTACTGAAAAATGGGATTGCCAGATCTCTTCAATATGATCCACTTCAAACAAAGCAGCAAAAATATTAGACAAAAAGCATGGTGCCTTCTAAAATCTATAAACCCAAAGCACAAATAAAAAAAGAATTATACAAATGTATATAACATGTATCTTCACTAGTTTAGTGGAATGAAATGTGTTGCCTATGTATTGTACTGCCATCTAGTGGTGGAAATAATGATTTGTAATGGAATTAAAGGACCACTATACTGCCAGGAAAACATACTCGTTTTCCTGGCAATATAGTGCACTGACGGTGCCCCCACCCTCAGGGACCCCCTGCTCTCCTCCTCCTCTCCTCCTCTTCGGCTGAATGCGCATGTGCGGCAGGAGCTGTGCGCGCATTCAGCCTGTCTCATAGGAAAGCATTCACAATGCTTTCCTATGGACGCTGGCGTCTTCTCACTGTGATTTTCACAGTGAGAAGCACGCAAACGCCTCTAGCGGCTGTCAATGAGACAGCCACTAGAGGCTTTAGAGGCTGGATTGACCCATTTATAAATATAGCAGTTTCTCTGAAACTGCTATGTTTATAAAAAAAAGGGTTAATCCTAGAGGGACCTGGCACCCAGACCACTTCATTAAGCTGAAGTGGTCTGGGTGCCTAAAGTGGTCCTTTAAATGCCTGTCTTTCTAGCAAAAAAAAAAACAAAATAGCAAAGAAATACAAAATGCAAAGCAAGAAACAAAGCTAGGTAACAGGTATGCACAAAGTATAACACTGTCTTTCAATAATTCTACTGGAAAAAGGGCTCAGAGCAGAAGGAGTGCAGAATATAAACAGATAACACATAGGTGCATCATAGTAAAATAGATTAATTGAATAAAGCATTCCCTAGGTGGTTCAATTTAGAGTGAATTCCACGGTACTGAATTCCACATCCCCCCTCCCGAGAAAATAGTAAAGCCGACGCTACCCCCTGCCGGCCCATCCTCGCGCCAGCCCTGCAGTTTGCCTTCACGGACCGGAGGGGAGATCAGTGATCTCCCTCCTTGGCCCACACAGGCACATTGCTGGACGGCTGGCAGTGGAGCGAGAGAGGACCTGCCGGGTTCTCCTCTCACGAGCACGGAGCGTTGCTGCGGTTACCATGGCAACGCTCTGTTCTTGTGAGAGTGAACTCTAGTCTGAGCTGCAGGCTAGAGTTCACTCTCACCACTGGGACCACCAGGGTTTGGAAGAAAGCAATGTCTCCCCTTCCCTCAGCAAAGGTAAGAAGGGAGGGGAGACATTAACTATATTTTAGTAATTATTTAATCATTTAAAAAAATATCTTTAATCTGCCCCCCTATCCCCTCACACAAACTATAACACCCTACAAACTGCACCACACACAAACACACTGCCTCCCTTACACACACAGCCCCCCTTACACACACTGCACCACACACAAGCACACAGCCCCCCTTACACACACTGCACCAAACACAAACACACTGCTCCCCCTTACACACAGCCCCCCTTAAATACACTGCACCACACACAAACACACTGTCCCCTTACACACACTGCCCGCCTTACACACACAGCCCCCCGTTACACACAGTGCCCCCATACACTCAGTGCCCCCCTTTCACACACTGCCCCCCTTACACACACAGCCCCCAATACACACAATGTAACTACACACACACTAACCCCTCATAGACACATTTCATCACTCACACAAAAACACACTGCCCCCTTATACACACACTGCACCCCTCACACACATACACACTGTTCCCAATACACACACTGCACCCTTTAGACACAAACACACTGTTCCCAATACACACACTGCACCCTTTACACACAAACACACTGCTCCCAATATACACATTGCTCCCCCATACATACACTGCACCCCTCTCACACACGCACTGCCCACCCCGTGCACACACACTGCCCCTCCATACACATACTGCACCCCTCAAACACATACACACTACTGCCCCTATCCCGGCAGACCCCGGGTAAGTTATCAAACTGTTTTTTAAACGATTTGACTACTTACTCTGGGAGGGCGCCACGGCACTCCTAGCACCAAAACCACTACAGAGAGCTGCAGTGGTTATTGTGTCTGGATTGTTTCTTTAAATGATGTGCCAGTGCCCCTCCTGAGATTAGGTTCTGGATCTGCCACTGGTCACAACCATAATCACATGACTATGGTTGACAAGGAAACCAATAAACAGGAAATGAACACATATCTACACAATATATATGAAAAATAAAAAATGAGTCCAAACATGATCATAAGTACTAAAAATGTAAATATAATTTAAGTTTAAACAAAAAAGAAGTTATATCACCTAGATTGTGTGAAATGATGTCAGAAATTGATAGAAATCCATATTTCTTGTGGAACATCTATGTGTTCCACTCAAGGTTGAATAAAGTCTCCTAATACCCCAAGTGTCCAGCAGAAATGAAATATAATATAATTGCAAGATGCACATGCGTCCACACTATAAGATTGGCCACAAAAACAAATTGATTAGTAGGTATAATCCGGACATGTTCCGGATTACAGTGTTTCGGTACAATGTTACAATGTTTTGGTACAAAATAAAGAGCTCTTAAAAAACGAAATACGGGGCGTGGCCTAACTCCGCATGGCAGCAGTCGCATAATTTGGAAGCTCCGCCATTACGTGGGCTTACACAGCGTGGAAACCAGCGATACTCACCCACCACATCTCCCATAGGCCGGCGAGGGAACAGGGGAGGACATGACCACTAAATCCTCCAAAAAACTAAAACAGAAGACGCTGCACTCCCACCTCACGATGGGGAACAATGGCGTCCAAGATGGCGCCGACGGAGCGCACTATTCCGCCTCGGATCACGAGAGTGGAGAAAGCCTGGACCCCCCTAGCATCACCAACAACCACCTAGCCACCGATGCCTCGGTGAGCAGCATGCTACAGTCGCTCCAGACTAACCTGAGGTCGGATTTTTCCAAGATGGCGGCGGACGTAAGGGCAGACATTCAGGCCCTGGGAGACAGAACAGCACACTTGGAGGAGGCAACGGAGGGGTTAAGAGAGGCCCATAATGAGCTGGCAGAAGCGCACACAACATTGCAGCGAAAGGTACAATTCCTAGAGAGCAAAATCGCTGATAACGAGGACAGGGACAGGAGAAACAATATACGGCTACGAGGTGTCCCTGAAACAGTAGGCCCTCAAGATCTGGCCACATTCGTTAAAGAGCTGTTCAAGGCGCTCATTCCGGCATTGGAAACCTCAGACCTGCGCTTAGATCGCACTCACAGATTACCGAAGCCGAAGCAATTACCTCCAACTACACCGAGAGATGTAATCACCAGAATCCATTACTTTGAGGTCAAAGATCGCTTAATGCAAGCATCCAGATCTAACCCATCATTGCCAAAGCCGTTTGCTGATATCAAACTGTTTATTGACCTGTCAGCGGCAACCATGACCAAGAGACGAGCGTTTGCACCTGTAACCGCAGCGCTTAGGAATGCTGCTATCCCGTACAAATGGGGATATCCCACGAAGATACTACTGAAACGAAATGGAGTGGATTTGGTAATCTTTACCCCAAGAGATGGCGCAAAATTGCTCAAAGAATGGAACATCCGACTTGACGTAGCCAGTTCTCCAGCACCCTCATCACCCAGAGAACAACCCCGAGACTACCGACCTGTCCCATGGCACGCGGCAGAACCACAGAAGACGCCACACCATCCAGCGAGGCCCAAGGATGTAGAACACCACTGATGGAGTACAGATATGTATCCCACACAAGAACTATACAACTAGTTCCCCCCCGGTGCACCCTCGCAGCTGTGCTCACTTGCAAGGTGTCTCACAGCCGAGAGCCCACCCAGGCGGAGAACCGCTTTACTGTTTACGTTACTTAATTGGCACTGTTATTCTTTTTTCCTAAACTTAATTGTACTGTTAAGAAATATTACCTATACGGTATATCAATAGAGGGACGCACACGTATAGCGTTGCGCCCGGTAACTCAGGGCACTATAATCAAAAAAAAAAAAAAAAAAATTTTCTTATTCTAGGTAACATAGGAAAACCGTAACAGGTAATACCTACCAGCACCCACAGAGCCCCACTCGGCTTACTTAGTAAGCCATTTCCTTACCCGTCGGCAGATTTCTGCACTAAGCCACCCAGCTAACGGGTTTTGTATATAGTTCAAGTTGTATTGTTATACGTTGAACCCTACCGCACCCCTCCAACCCCCACCCACGCACTTGACGAAATAAGGTGACACTAGGGGCTGAGTAGCACGGCATAGCCTTTACCTCCCTGCCCACCTGATTATAGCGGTGAGGATGTCAATCACTGTACTTTCTCTCAATGCCAAAGGGCTGTACACGCCCCATAAGCGAAGACTGGCACTTTTAGAAGCCAAAAAATGTAAGGCGCAGGTAGCCTTCTTTCAAGAAACCCATTTTAAATGGGGTTCACGGCCTAAATTTAACTCCCCCTGGTTTCCAATAGATCACCACTCCTGCTGCTCCACAAAAAAAAGAGGAGTCTCTATTTTAATAAGCAAGAACGTCACCTTTGAGCTGGTCCGTAAGATTAGCGATAAGACAGGTAGATATCTCATCGTTCAGTGTCACCTTAACAACAACCCCTTCACATTAATGAATGTATATGGACCCAACGCTAACCAAGAAATGTTTTTGCACCGAATATTTGCCTTGTTGAATATGTACAGCTTTGGGGAGGTAATACTTGGAGGAGATACCAACTTTCTTCTAGATAGTTTTAAAGATTCCTCTGCCTCACATACTATAACACCCAACACCTCTAAGAAACGGCTCACACAATCGCATAACATATGCGATATCCTAGCAACACATGATTACGTAGACCCTTGGAGAATTACACATCCCAACGAAACTGATTACACATGTCATACAGCGGTACACAATAGCTACTCCAGATATGATAGGTTCTTGGTCAGAACCACCTCCCTTCTCAAGATACTAGACACTACCATAGGGGACATCACGTGGTCCGACCACGCACCAATCACGTTAACGATCAAGGACCAGTTCCCTCAGACTGGCCAGAGAACTTGGAGGTTAAACAACACCTTGTTAACAAACACACACATAGTCCAGGAAGTCACACAGGACCTACAAAACTACTTCGAGGACAATGATAAGCACAACACTGATCCGGATTATGTCTGGCTAGCACACAAGGCGGTCATTAGAGGCAGCTTCATAAAACATGCCAGCCATGCCTACAAGACACAAAGAGCACAATACTTAGCCCTTATCAGTGAGATCAAACACACCACACACAACAACAAACATGCACCCACCCCTGAGACACAACGAAAACTCTTGAGCCTGCAAACACAATTACGAGATATAGAGTTAACCAAAACAACCTACCTCTTACGAAAATCAAAACACAAATTCTTCGCGGCAGGGAATAAAGCAGGCGCTAAGCTAGCGGCGCAATTAAAACAAAAAATGATCGCCTCCAGGATTGCCTACCTCACAGATGGAAAAGGTCACAAAACTATTGACCCACGAGATATTGTTAATATGTTTGCAAATTACTATCGTCAGCTATACAATTTAAGTGAAGAGGGTACCACTAAGGTCCCAACTGTAGCGGACATAGACGTATTCCTACAAGACCTCTGCTTGCCCGCCCTGACACCGACCGCAATACAATCACTACGACAGCCTATCTCCTTAGAAGAGATCACTTCGGTGATCAAAGACTTACCCGTTGACAAATCACCTGGACCAGACGGTCTCACCAATGCCTATTACAAACTATTTGCGAATACCCTCTCCCCGTACTTGTTGAAACTATACAGACAGAGTAATGACAGAGGAGCCCTACCGGCTGAAGTACTTCTAGCACACATATCCACCCTCCCCAAGCCAGGAAAACCACCGACACACTGTAAAAATTTCAGACCCATCTCCTTACTAAATGGGGATGCTAAAATCTACGCCAAGATCCTTAGCAACAGAATAGCACCACTCCTCAGAAACTTAGTGCATAACGACCAGTCAGGGTTTGTCAGAGGACGGCAGGGCTCAGACAACACCAGACGAATCCTCAACATACTGACACATATGGAAAAAAACAACACAGGGGGCCTTCTCTTGGCGCTAGATGCGGAGAAGGCATTCGACCGCCTCAATTGGAAGTACATGTCTGAAGTCCTGGGGAGGTACAGATTTCCGCCCGAAATGATTAGAGGGATAGCGGCGCTGTATAGCGCACCAGCGGCGAGGGTCTCCAACGGAGGCTTTACGTCTGACAAATTCTCTATTACTAATGGGACGCGCCAAGGTTGCCCCTTGTCCCCCCTCCTCTACATTCTCTCGCTGGAACCTCTGGCGTTAAAGATCCGTACGAATCCTGACATAAGAGGAGTAACAGTGACAGGCCAGGAACACAAACTGGCACTGTTTGCCGATGACGTCTTGGTGTCATTAACAGACCCAGAGAAGTCATTGCCACACCTTATGAACACACTTACCGACTTTGGCTTAGTTTCCCACTATAAACTTAACCAAGATAAAACTCAGGCACTGACGGTTAACCTACCCTTAGAACGCACGCAGACACTACAACGACAACACCAATTTGACTGGAGACTCTCATCCCTCACATACCTAGGGGTCAAAATCGCAACTTCCATAGCAAAAATCGTAAAATTAAATTACCTACCCTTACCACACATGTGCAAGGCGGACACCCTAAAATGGAAACATGTACACCTATCCTGGCTAGGAAGGATTAACGCCTTCAAAATGTCTATATTACCCAAAATTCTTTATGTTTTCCGTATGCTACCTCTCACGGTACCACAACCTCTGCTTAAGAGCATACAACACACGTGCAACACCTTTATATGGGACAATAAAAAGCCCAGGATCCCTCACAGACTTTTGTACACTCAGGTCAAACAAGGAGGAGTGGGTCTACCAAACATTAACCAATACTATAAAGCCGCGGCGCTAACAGCCGGCATAATGTTACACTCTCCTAAAGGGGACATCAGCTGGGTAGACATGGAAAACGCCCAACTAAAAACACTAAATATAGTTGATGTCCTATGGACGCCTAAACACCTACGGATCCCCAAACTAGACCTATTTCACTCAACGTCTCTGACACTTCGTACATGGGACACGTTTATGGCCACAATGGGGTGCAAACTTTCCTTCCATCCCCGGGCACCACTGACTGCCCTAAGAACCGCATCCCCCGATCTCCCTCTAACAAGGTGGACTAAGGCAGGAATCACCAACATCCAGCACCTAGTAGACAATAAAGGCGTAATAGCATTCGCGGATATACAGGCCAAATGGCACCTACCGATGAGGGAGGTATTTACCTACCTAAGACTCAAAGGGACCATACTGACTCATGTGAACCTACACAACAACACTCGGGAGCAATCACTGGTGGCGGGCGGGATTTTAGACAGATGCTGGGCCGCACCAAATAAACCAAAAGCCATCTCCCTCTGTTACAAAATGTGGGAGACCACACTACCACAACACACCCCCCTCTGTAAGACTAAATGGGAGGAGGACTGCTCCCTTCAACTCTCAGAGGACGACTGGGTCAGAGCAATAAATAGCCTCTCAAAACTCACTAGATGTTACACACACATAGAAGCGCATAGGAAGCTACTGTATAGGTGGTACATGACGCCAAGTCGGTTACATAAAATATACCCCAGTGTCACACCGACATGCTGGAGGTGTTCAAGGGACACCGGTACATTCCTCCACATATGGTGGACATGTCCAGTGATACAACCCCTCTGGACAGAGGTTAGGAGATTGCTGTATAAATTGGGCGTGACAAACCTATTGCCAAGCCCGCAAACATACCTCATGCTTATGCTCCCCAGTGACCTAGCTAGAGAACACAGACAGGTGTGCGCCATCATGATACTGGCGGCCAGGAACCTTCTAGCGACGAACTGGAAGTCGCACCTATGTCCATCTAAAACACAACTATGGGACAAGATTCAACAATACCATGTCTATGAACGAATGACGATGACCCATAGTATAGAATCACAACAGTTCCATTCAACATGGAAACAGTGGACATGCTTATACGACCAAGCCACAAATCACCAAAATCCACCTTGAGACCGTTAAATATGGCCTGACAGACTGTACCAGCACGCAACACCGTGCTTACAGAACCAACCTTTATCCTCCCGCACCAGACTGCTTTGCCCACAAACACCCAACAACGGGTAAACAATACGTGAGTGTAAAACTATACTAAGCAACCTTAAGTATGTGTATATCAGGTATATTGTTATTGCGGACACAGCCGCCTGCGAAACCCTAAATGTCACTGTCGAAAAACTTGATAACAAACCTTGTAAAAGTCCATATTGTCTGCTTTCCCCCATTGTTATCCTTATAACTCCCTTCTCTTTTCTGTACCCCATATACTTGAAAATCAATAAAAATTTGCATTAAAAAAAAAAAAACGAAATACAAATTTGATTGGTCATCAAGTATGAAATACTTTGGTATAACGATATGCTCTGACCCAAACAAAATAATAGAAGCAAATTTCTTACCTCTTCTTAAACAAACGTCTAAACAGTTGAAAGATTGGGGAAAGATGGAATTCTCATTCTGGAGAAGAATAAATATTTTAATATCATATGTTCTCCCCAAATGGTTATACCTTCTCCGTATGGTACACCTCATAGTCCCCAGTAGCTTTCTCTCTATGGTTCAGGCGGCATTTAGGAACTTTGTCTGGCGTAGTAAAAAACGAGGATAAAACTAGACGGTCCTAAACTGAAACCTGCTCAAGGAGGACTTTCTATGCCAGATATACATGAATACCATAATGCAAGCATGTTGATGCATGCATTTTTTATGAATTTTGGACAATGGAAGTATCAAAAATGCCAATAGTTGGAAGATGTTTAATTATGGAGCACATTTTAAATAATTGGCAGAAATTTAGGAAGAAAATAAAGTTAAATAACAAAGTCCTAATAAATACTCCCCTGGAAAATTTAGCAAATGATATAAAATACATTAATCTGAGTAAATGGTATAGAAATGGCTTAAGGACAATAAGTGATTAACTGGTGGATAAACGTATTAAAACTTTGATTAAAATTTCTGAAAAAACACAAGAACTTAAAGGAGAATTTTTTTTAACTATTTACAAATAAAAGGAAATATTAGGAAACATTTATGCCTAGAACCTAAAGAGACAATTACAAAGATCCAAACAATCCAAAGAAAGATTGAATCAAAAGGCATGCTAGCTTGATGTAAAGAACTGCTAAGATTGGGGGAAAAATAAGCTCAATCAGGGCCGCAGAGAAATGGTAAAGGGACATACAAGTTAAAATTACTCAAAAAGAATTAACAGGAGCTTTTCAAAAAGTCTGTAAATCAGTAAGATGCCTGAATTTAACAGAGATGCAATTTAAGCTCAGTAACCGTATCTACCTGGCCCCGAGCCGGACAAAATCCAAGCAATCAGTAAGATCAAACTCCCACTGAAACCAGAATCTTACTTTCTATTTTTAAATTTTCCAAAAATGCCCAAAGCAGAGTATGGCATAGTAGTACATACTTTGCTAGCAGCAAATATCACAATAGCCAGAAAATGGAAATCTTGTATGTCACCACTATGGATTGAGGTTAAAATATGGAAATAGGAAGAGAGAAGTACCAAAATTGTATTCAGAAAAGGAATTATAAATGGGATCTATGGATAAAATCGATCCCTAAGTGAGCATGATAAACAAATAACCCAAGGATGAGAGGAGAAAATATTTAACCTCTCTAGGAGCTGTCCTGCCAGACATGAATGTTGCTTTATATGTTATCCCCTTCCAATAAAAATGGGATAGGGAATATTTGGAATGTGAGGCCCTACTGGAGGAGAGAAGTATTCTATATATTGATTGTTTAAAATAGAACTATATGTTTTGTATAGTCAATGTTTCTTTTATGTGTGTTTTTGTTCTTTTGTGTCCAATAAAAAAAAAGGAAACAAATAAAAAATAAATAAATGAAAAAAAAGGCACTTAAATAATCTACAAGTGCCCCTCCCGAGATCAGGCTCTGGATCCGCCACTGGCGGTCGCACCCTATCAGTGCAACCTCGCTGATAGGCTGAGCTTACCTACTCGACGACAAGCCAGGAGCGGTCCCACTGGGATCTCTGTCCCCTCTGCTGCAAAGCAAAATGGCACAGACGACGCAGTCGCGACCATTTATAGCCCCCCCCGAGGGTCACAACCTTTCACATTCTGGGGTCAGAGGTCATGCTCTGACCAATCACAGCACAAGGAGGGATATTTAAATCCCTGAAGTTCCCTAGCTCATTGCCCTGTCGTGGTTTCAGTTTTTGGTTCCCGAGAGTGCGATTTCTTGTCTTGTATTTGACCTTCCCGGTATTTTGACCTTGGCTATCCTTGACTACTCTGATTTCTGGTTCCCTTGACTTGGCTTTCCATATCATTCTCGTGTCTTTCTGGCTTCCTTGACCTCGGCTTTCCCTTGACCATTCTCTGTCTTTCAATGTATTAATCCTGCCATTCTAAGGACAGGTTTACGTTCTGTCCTTTTGCTATTCTGTCTATGTAGATATTACATAGTTCTGCATGCTGGACCACACTAGCAGTCGTGACAAAGGGTGATGGCAGTTGGCACCCAGACCACTTCAATGAGCTGAAGTGATCTGGGTGCCTAGAGAGCAACTCCACCATATGTGCATCTGATTACCCTTCGATTGATTGCATCTCCAGCATCTATCAGTGCTGTTTAGATACATTTTAGCGATGCTAACAGGAACTAAATGCCACCTGTTCATCAACTTAAATTGTAATTCCTTAAGTTTTAAACATGGAATAGCCCGATCCAATAGTTTCAAAGAATAATTTCCAATCTTATTGTAAAATGTAGATTTTGTCCCCATTTTTTTAATTGTCACTGGGCATAATCTATCCTTAGTGTCTTTATCAAATGGGGACAGTCATCAGTATTTTGTAATCCTTCTGCCGAATCATATTATTCATGAGCTGGCTGGGTGTTCCAGTGTTACGTCTATCAAGATGTTTATTAAGAATGCCTTTTACTCTCAAATATTTAAAAGTTTCACTTTGATGCAATCTGTATTCAGTTTGTAAGTTAATCAGTGACTTTATCAAGATATATACTTTATTAAGATATAAATCTTCCGTTAAATAAGTAGTAAATACCAAAGGTAAAGATGAAAGAATTTTATTTTGTAGACCTAGTTTCTTTCCAGTCACTTTCCAACTGCATAAAATCTGACAAAGCGCTAGGCTTCCATCTGGTCTCAAGGTCATCCTATTTTTATTGAGTGGATTCCTAAGTTATTATTATTATTATCATTATTATTATAAGTTATTTATCTATATATTTACTACATCCTGTTCCAAAGAAAACCAACCTTCCTTTGGACTCTCCCTTTTTTGTGTAATTATTGTGTGCATTAATATAGGTTTCTCCCTTTTTTTTTATAAGACTTGTAGACCTAGTCTTGGTTTCTTACCCAGCCATATACAACGATGGAAGGTCGATTGTATAAGTTCCAACCAGGGCATTGGAACCATAGAAGAAGCATTCTAAAGAAGCATTCTAAATGGTACATATATTACCAATTCCCCAAGGGTATGAAAACTTTTGAGCACAACTGTATGTGTTGTGTATGCCCATTCTAATTTTTTCACAGTCATAAAATTCCAGTGCATCTACGTGAGTATCGAGGGAAAGAAAAAAAATTACAGATTCAAACAAAAACGCATGTAATGCACCATAGCTATACAAACTATTGTGTATGGTGCGGACTGAGAAAGTGAGTCTATGGCAGTAGTGAGCATCTGTAGTGTGTGTCTCTGCATGATGCATTGTAAGACATGTGGGTATGGTATAGTCTCATTGTGTATGCGCAACAATATATAAGAAAACGTAGCTCAACTAGAGTGTACGACCCTTAACAAAGGGGATCCCAGGAGGAGGGGGGAGAAAAATATTAAGTGCAACGTCCGCTCTAGGTGTAATGTAAGCACCCTATGGTGTAATTTCGTGGGTGTGGATGTGATGGGTTATTTATTTGGAGTCTTTAGCCCCCTCAGGTCTTTATATTGATTTTAATTTGTATATATATATATATATATATATATATTTATTTTTTTTACAATTTTTATTTTTTTTATATTTATTGTGATGGAGGTAGTCACCATCACTGGTAACATAAGATGGACACTTCAGTTAGATACCTGGATGACTCCTATGTTTGTTTAAGTCACCCTGTGCACACTGTAGGTGCAAGGTGTGTGTAATGTATGTGTATTATGTACTTATTGTTAATTGTTTGTGTGCTCTCCTGTCCTGCTGATGCCTACTACCAACTAGGTGGATTTGGATATGGAGCCTGTATAGCACCCTCTCTTGGTAGAAACAGCTATATGCACTAGCTGAATAGCAAGGTTTGTTAATTTAGAAATTAGATTTTCATATTGCTAATTCTGCAGACAGGAGAGATATATTTAGGGTTAATTAGTGTCTTCCCAACCCCCTTATGAATATGTCATTGTGTTATAATAACTTGCTATATGTTGTCTGCTATGATTTGGTTATTTGTATTTTATTGAAGTTGTCACAGCAATCTAAGTGTAATGAACAAATGGGCTTGTTAAAATAAAGCATTACATGTTAGCTCTATTTGGAACTGGGTGTCCTGTGTGGATTTTTAGGGATTCAAGTGACAGAGTCTTCAGATCTGTTGGTTTTTTGCACAATTCTTCTAGCCCTGGGATAAAGCAAGAGAAGTAGGCCTGAGAGATTACCCTTGTAAAATCACATTATAGGCAGTGCTCCGGATATTCGAAAGGCCTTTGATCAACAAAGCGTCTCCTCACATTTAAAAAAATACCACAACAAAGATCCTAGTGTTTTTACCTTTTTAGGGATACAAGAGCTTAAAAGTTATTGGCGTGGAGGAAATTATATCCAGAATATAGGGAAAGAGGAGATGAAGTGGGTTCATAATTTGGAGACTTTAGAACCCAAGGGACTTAACATAGAGTTTGATTTGTATAATTTTTTATAAAATATTTTTATATATTTTTACACTATTTTTATACAATCTTATATATTGCTGTGTATACCAATTAGGAATGTAGATTTAGCGATATTAATTAATATTAATGCCCCTCCTTTTTTTCTCCCTTTTGAGTTGGTATTTCTTTTATATATTTATACATTTTATTATATGTTTGCATTAGTATTTTTTTTAATTATTCTGTCTTTCTTTTATATAATGTCTGGGTTTCTTTTATGTACTTTCTACTCTCTGAGATATACCATTGTTGTGTGATTTTCGTGCAAAACAGGGTTCAGGTGATATACCATAGTCTTGTGGACTTTAAACATTTACATAATGGCATGTAGTTACTCAGGTTTAAGGTTTCCAGGAAGGACCAATCACAAAGTGACTTTTAATGTATCACACCTACTATAGCGGACTTAAAAAGTACAGGACGGACAAACTATGCGATCTGAAGAAGCCGACCAGGCAAAACGCGTCATCACATTCTGATACGTTCAACGTCATTACCTGGTCGTACGATGCTCAGGATCCCGGAAGAACTCCCCACTGTGCCAATAGCCTGAAAACCGCAAGTGCCAGCCCTGAGTTGGAAAGACTAAGAAGCCAAAGTGTATGGACTACACTACATCAGGGAAAAGAGCTGTATCACTGATATGTGAACTTTCATTTTATTTTATGGGAATAAAGAATTTTGTCGTATCGAGTTGCCGTCCTGTTTACCTGCTATACTACAGTCCTGATTTTAGGATCCAAGCTATTAAAGTTAGAGCAGACTTTTACTGCTCTCTCCTTGTGAGTTTATTAGATTCACTTATTTTACTGTAATATATGCTACAGAATTACACTATATATTTTCTCCTCTTGATTTTTTTATGTATTTTGCTCCATCACATACCTGTGGGAGACTATTATGAATTTCCAATTTTAGGGGACTACTAAGTAAGTTTTTATTATACTTACAACTCAGTGCACTTTCAATTATTGCACAATATTTTAACAATTTTTTAAACAATATATGTCACTTTTTTCAGCACTTTATAATTGCAGTTTGTTACACTTTATATACACTGTATAGTATTTTAAAGGAACAGCACACTTTTAAAATCTTGTATGGTAAAAACAGTTAAAGGACCACTCTAGGCACCTGGACCACTTCAGCTTAATGAAGTGGTCTGGGTGCCAGGTCCTTCTAGGGTTAACCCATTTTTTTATAAACATAGCAGTTTCAGAGAAACTGCTATGTTTATGAATGGGTTAAGCCTTCCCCCAAAGACTCTAGAGGCGCTTGCGTGATTCTCACTGTGAAAATCACAGTGAGAGCACGCAAGCGTCCATAGGAAAGCATTGTAAGTTTTAACCCCTTCCCCTTTCCAGAGCCAGGTGGGAGGGGGACCCTGAGGGTGGGGGCACCCTCAGGGCACTATGGTGCCAGGAAAACGAGTATGTTTTCCTGGCACTATAGTGGTCCTTTAAACATGCTAATCTATTGTGATGGCCTAGATCTGTATAAATTATGATAGGCATACATTTTGAAAATGTGTTCCTTTTAATCTGTACCTTTTATATTGCATTCATACCAACTAACATTTTATATTACTGAATTAATAAATATATAAACATAAATTAAATATGCCACTCCTTCTTTCAATGTGTGGCACTTAATAATTTTACTAGTTTACTATTTTTCTATTTGGCAAAAATGTTTACTTGCCAACTAATATTAAAAAAAATAAACAACAGGGGTGGGCGCAGCCAACAGTAAACTGAACCAGACTTGCTTGAATGGAGCTCCAAAACAGACCCGCTATTTCTATGATTTTGCCATGAGATACGACTACTTACCAACTGCCTGTCAACATCCCCACCCAGATAATGTTATGGGGCAAAAACACAAGAAGTCCCAATGTCCGGATGACTCTGGTATGACCGACATCAGGCTTTCATTTGAAGGGCTTGTGGAGCGTTTACCACCTAAGATGGTGCCTGCTGCGCAAATTGAGGCTAAGGCCTCAGGAGATTCCCATGAGGACATGGAGTCTAGTGCCTCGAACAGATCTGAGGATGCCTACCAGGAGTCCGAGTCTGATGAGGACTCTTCTCCATCCAAAAAAGGGGACATGAAACGGCTTCTGCTGAATTTAAGAAAGTTGTGGAAGGACCTCAAGGAAACCCAGGCCGAAATGGGTATCATCTAAAAGTGGCTTGATGTAGTAGAAGCGAGGGGCAGATTAAAGAGATAGCCAGATGACAGAAATGAAAAGTCAAGGAGAAAACCTTACCAATCTGGAAGTATAATCAGTATATAAAACTCCAATAAACTTTAAATTGGAAATAAATAAATAACACTTCATTGAATAGGACACAAATACGTTTCTGTATGTCAAAATAAGCAAATACACTTTATTTTTTATTTTTTTTTACAAATGTTAGACACAATTTAAAAGCCAAGATTGGTCTCATGCACAGTAAAAAGAACTTTACTTTTTTACTGAAATATATATTTATGTTTTTATATACATATACATATATATATATAAATTTTATTTTTTTATTTTTTTTCACAGAAAGAAGTGCACTTGGATTGATTTTTCATACCCAAATCGATAAGAGATGGTAGATGCATTAAAGGGAATTTTATAACATGACAGGAGGCTTCGTATTTGCTTAAGTCTCTCTTTACTAGAACTCCACGGCAGCACAGAAAACAACCAATCAGAAAAAAAGTTAGGTACTATAAAACTCCCCTCCCCATACATCATTTCCTCTTTCTTTGCTGCTCCGCAGTCAGTACAGGTCAGAGTACCACTGCCTCCTGCTTATAGTTGGTGGCTTTGGGTTTTATTATGACTTATATTAATTATGCTTAGTTTTTTTAAGATTTCTGTGCCTTTTGGCTCTTCTTTGCTTCCCCTGGTTTTCTTTGGGATATTTTCTTTTACGTTGCGATGGTTTCATGGGGACATGGGGGTTCCTGGAGATACCTATTCAGTTTGCTCTCCCTTTGATTTCAGCACCCCCCCCCCCCATTTTATATCACAGATTGCTGTGAGTTTTGCTGACAGTGTATATCACAGATTTCTCTGAGTTTTGCTGACAGTGTATATCACAGATTACTGTGAGTTACAGGTATATATGAAACTCAGTTATACAGGCTCTGTACAGGGTGTATACAGAGCCAGTTGGCTAGTTAGCTCTAGGATTGATGTGCTTCACAGTATATACATATTCTGGTCCAGCTATGGAATCTCAGATGAGACTACTCTGGTATGAATTCACTGTCCATGGCATATGTTAAAAGCTAAGCAGACCTGGCTCTGGCTCAAACTGGTATGGGAAACCAGTCTATGCTGATACTATTCTATTTTTATCAGGTTCTATGGGGAGATTCATTGAGTTGACAATTGTTTAGTCCTACTCCTGAAAGAGACCATTGGTACATTACCTTTCAGGTGGTGTGATGATGATGATCTATAACAAGATAAGAATCTCAAACAGATCTGTATGTACATGTGCATACCAATTCACAGTGTAAGGAATGTATCGCTCAGTGTATCTTGATTTTATGGACACTATATAAGCAAGGAACAACTTCAGATTATACCCAATACAGCTGGAATACCACTATTTTGCGTGCTGGGCATTTAAGGACTGCCAGTCCCGGTTAAGGTTTATTCACACAGTATTACGCTGTCTAAAAGGGTTGATGTCTAGGGGTCCTAGGTCACAGGATACCCTGAGCATTTACAGATATTTAGGGGACTCTGCCCAAACTCAGGGGTCCCCAATACTCCTAATACGCAACCCAGGATTGGCCTGCTATGTCTGTGCCCCTTTGCTTGGCCTGCTCTGTCTGTGCCCCATTGATTGGCCTGCAAGTTCTGCGCCCATTTAATTGGCCTACTATGTCTGTGCCCTTCTGTCTCGCCTGCTCTACCTGTGCCCATCGTTGGCCTGATCTATCTGTGCTCAAACCCCCTTTTGGCTGCAGGCCTTGGGGAATATCACTGAGGAAAACTCAGTACCCACTGTTGACATGGAGATAGGTGGGTGTCCAGGCAAACACTGCTGCCAAGTGCACCTAAATATGATTGGAAGGATGAAGGCCCTACAGCTCATGCCCTGAGTGGCAAAGCTTTTATGAAGATTCCCGGGCACGCAACCACGATTTACACCAGCCCGGCAGCGGCACATCTCCAAGGGGAATCTCGCACAAGCAGGGACCAGTGCTCAGACGCCAACATGGGAGCACGGTTTCCTTGCCTTCAGCAACTAACCTTTTAGCTGCTGACCCTTTCAGTTGGGTTTACTTGGCTTGTTTTTCCAATCTGCTATTTACCTTCTCTCCGAGCTACGTATTTCCCTTTATCTAAATTTTTTGTTAGTAGGTGAAATAGAGAGATCCAGTCCAAACATGTATATCCTGCATGATCAGCCAGCCCTCTATAACGAAATCGGTAGCACGGTCGTTAGATCTAATTGAATGCAGGAGGGACGCCCCTCTATGTTATACAGGTCTTCTTTGTTATACAGGTCCCAATCACCATTGGATCCGGACATCTTATCACTCTTAGACGATGATACATCTGGATGGAAATCTCAACCCCGGTTTACGTTCCCATTGTTTTGAATATTTCCGGGATTCACAATCCCCAGAATAGTCGACCACCGTTTCACCACACAAGTTCAGTTTGGGACCTTAATTGGAAGTCTTTTGAGAGTCTTTTCTCTACCCCAGCCGCAGATTACACAGTCCTTTTGGAATACTGGAACCACTTAGGATACGGCTAGTTTTGACCACACTCTTGCCTGCATTATAAATTCATTCTCAGATGAGACAACTCACTGGGTAGGTCATGAGGGAACAAAAAGACCCTACTCAGTTCTATTACGGAATTGGGTGTAGACTTAGGCGCATTCTTTGAGGTTGGAGATTTGCCTGCAAGGCCACATCGCCTGGTAACCCTGGCATGATAGGAGGAGCCACCTTCCACATCAAGAGTCGAGACATGGTGGCAGTTTCTTCTCGCGGCCCTAAGTCCGCAAATGACCTTCGGCATTTTAAACCTACAGGAAAATGGCTAATAGGTCAGCTTGTCGCTCATGGGCCGGCTGCTGGGAAACAGGTCGCAACCCCACGTACAATGGATCTATCAGCGGATGGTATTTTTCCGTATTTGGTATACTTCCTCAGCTGGCATCTTCATCGATCCGTCTACTGTCACTTCTTGCAGTTGGAAGGTCCATTTAGGATTGCTCTAATATCTCACGGAATAGGTACCAGTGAAACAAACAGAGTTGGATTTGTTGGCTGAGCGTTAAAACAGCAAATATGAAGCCTCTTGTCATGTTATAAAATTGTAGATTATGCTAGCTTTAGTGTACCTATAATCTTAATTTTATTAATGACAGGAGGCGAGTATTTCCCGACCATTCTTATCCCTCCCTTGTTTAATTTTATAGTATGAGTTCATCAGGTACGTATGCAACTCTGCTTGTTGTCTCTGCTACCTGTCACTTGTTCTTATGTTTGTTTTTCATAAGTCGGGTTGGGATCTATGCAGGTTACGGTAATGTTGGTTGCTACATTGAGTACCTACATGTTTGTTCAGAGTACATTTCATTGGCTAACCAACCTGTTCGATTCTGTTTTTTCTCTCGTTTCAGTTTACAGTCCATCAACGCTATCTGGTTTGGCAGTTCTTCTCGGAGGATGGGCATTGTTGTATTCATTATATCTAGGACTTTGTTTCTTCCCCATTATATTTTCTGCCTTTTGTTCTGTTTTGTTGCAGCTTGAAAGAGGAAATTATGCATGGGGAGGGGAGTTTTATAGTATCTAACTTTTTTCTGATTGGTTGTTTTTCTGTGCTGCTGTGGAGTTCTAGTAAAGAGAGACTTAAGCAAATACTCGCCTCCTGTCATTAATAAAATTAAGATTATAGGTACACTAAAGCTAGCATAATCTACAATTAATATATACTGAATCCTTGAAAGTTTCCATAGTGGGTTTAATTAAACTGTTGATGGAATGGATACGCACTGTTGTATGTGCATGAGTATTTATTAGAATCCCAGTGATTATTATGGCTGTTCCAGAACTCTACTTCATGTTGGAAATATTGGCGATGCACGGTATCTTTTTCAGGTAAGTTAACTTGTGATAGTCTTTGTAAAACTATTGCACTAAACTGGTAAGTCAATTTTCGTCTGATTTTCATTATTTCTCCTGTCCGGCCATAATTCCTAAGGGCCCGGGCCATTTTTTGGTAAGTCATGATCTTACGGTTGCCTTTTTTTTTGCCCCATAATTCTGCCAGCTTCTCTTTGTTTTTAGAAACAAACTGGAAAACGCCATTTAGTTCATCCACCCACTGAATACAGCTCATCATGTCTGGATTATGCAGAGCTTCGAGAAGATATTCGAAAAGTCGCAGCTTCCTCCGTCCTGATGATAAAAAATGATACATATTAGTGTTTAATTTTGTGAGTAATTGCATCATTGCTCTATTGATAGTTCCTTGTTGACTCATTCCTGTAAACTCTAATGAACCACTAACTGGGGTGCATAGTACAGCAAAGGTAAGTACAAAAGGCCCACTTCTGTTTTCAGATTGACATTACTATATGATAAACATGTACGCTCCGGCATCTACAGAATAATGTAGAATTTGTATTTTATTTTTTGCCTCCCAATCTTTAAGTATAAGTTGCATCTTTTGTTTATTTTAAATGTAAAAATGAAATTTAAAAATGAAATGTCATGAATTGCCAACACAGCATTTGTAGCATCCTAGCCAGGGCTAAAAAACATATAATGACCGTTCACGGCTATCTTATATGATATATTAGAGAAGTATGCAGCATTAGTCCAAGCTTATTGATCAGCGCTGCGGAATATGTTGCCGCTTAATAAATGCCAGTAATAAATAAATAATTCATAAATAAAAATAACATGGGTATCTTACTGAATCACTGGCATAAGCATTTCCCCTGGAACAATAAAGACTGCAGAACTCTGTAGTCAGAACCGCAAATGAAACACTATACCCTAAAATCACAGCTAAAGAATGCCATTACTTTTACTCCATGAAATGATTGGTACAGAGAGACATTGGGAAACACAATACAGTAAAAACAGCCAACTTACACTTTCATGCATTTTCTTTACTTATTCATGAACTTGGTCCCATAAACTATATATATATCATTAAATGACCACTCCACATCCCAATGGCACTTCGGCAAGATGAAGTGCTTTATGGACGAGGAGTGCCCTAGTTTAACCCCAGTTTATAAAAGTGCTGATTTCTGAAATCAGAACTTTTATAAATTAACTAGGAAACTCCCCTTGCCAGTGAAAGGGCCAAGGAAAATTCCTTCCAACTTCTGTTAGCTAACGGAAATGGCAGGCACGCGCTACTTGACAGACGTCAGACCAGCTGCTCAGCAGCAGACGTGCGCACCCGTGCAAGAGCCAACACTCGTGCATGCAACAGAGTGTGCACATGTGCACGAGCCAGCATGTCCGTGCACGTGGGCACCATGTCAGAGGCTTCTCAATGAGAAGCCTCTGATTGGTTATTTCCCTATGAATAGACAGAAAGTTTATTCCGGGAAAAAAGAAGAGTGCTTGCTAAGAACTGCAGCCTTTGCAAGTTCTTTTAAGATATAGTGCTTCTCCTGGTTTAGCGACCTATTATCTTGCATAATCATTACTGAGGAAAATATTATTATCCATTGTTATTTGGGATTTTAAAAATACAATCTATTTAGTCCCTTGTACTAAAAATGTGACCTATTTCTCTCTTTGTTAATGAGTTGTGTTTTGTTTTTTAAATCTTATGTCACAATGTTTCTCTTTTTTACTTACCGTTTTTGTGTGAGACTTTCTTTGTGTGCGCAATGCACATGACATGTTCGTCTTGAGTAGTCTGGTTGCTCTGATATATACAATCTCCATATATATTTGGGGTGTTTATCTACAAAGAACAAGAGACATTATAGATTAATTCTAGTTAAAAGCATATTGTTTGATAAAGCTAAGATAGAGGTGCTTCTTGGGGAATTACATTGACATTCACTGTCTCCACCCTCTGCATGGAGACACTGAACTTCAATGCATCTACATGAGTAGATACTGTGTTTGGAATCTGCTGGCTCTGCCCCTGTTCTGCCTCCTTGACAGTCTCAGCCAATCCTATGAGAAAGCATTGTGATTGGCTTGGAGAATCACTTTGATGATGTCAGCCAAGCAGGCTGATCAGGTGCAGATGCAGCAGTTGCCGACTTGACTAAAAGTAAGATTTTACTATATTTTGGAAGGCAAAGGTGGGAGGTGCAGGGGGAGCTAGATGGTGGTTTTTAACACTATAGGGCAGGAATACTTGTTTGTGTTCCTGACCCTATAGTGTTCCTTTAATGTTATTTTCATCTGACCAGGCTCTAGGCATGGCAGGGGATATACGGTAACAAAAAAGGCTTTATTTAAGTATCAAAGAGAGGCCCATCAATCTATATTGACAGGTGTACCTCTACATTACAAATATAGGTTTGTTTTCCTAATATTGGAGTGCTAATTTAAAGTTAGGGTCTAGAATAAAGTCTCAAATTCTTACATATTTCCTTGAAAATTATGGACCAAATTGGGTCCAGCCACCATGTCATAGGGTACTATAATTAGGACCTAACTTATTTTGTAAGTTATTAAACTAATAATAAATAATAAATACTTAGCAGAGTCAAAATATAAAGGGATTTCCTTATCTGTTTTCATTAATGCATTAAGATCTAAGTGTAACTTTTATAATTTTTGTATTTATAAAATATATACTAGGAAGGATACAGTGAGATTTCTATTGTTTTCAGGTATGTTCTGGGGAGCAGTGGTACACATATTATAGGAGACATGCACAGTACAATTCAACATATAAAGGGACATGAATTAATAGGATAATGCAGCGGTTCCCAAACTGTGTATCGCGGTGCCCTAGGGCGCCACAACGGCACACAAGGTCGCCGCAAGATATTTTTCTGGTGCTATGATCAAAGCACCGCGAACTGTACCTCCCTCTCCCCTGCTGGCTCTGCAGGTAGGGAGAGAGGACCTGGGGGGAGCTCTAACTTGCAGCTCCACTAGGTTATCTTCTCGCGAGCTCGGAGCATTGCAGGCTAGAGTTCACTCTCACCACTAGGACCACCAGGGCTTCCTCGCAAACCACCAGGGATTAGAACTCTGTGGGGGTAGGAGGGCAAATTCATAAATATATAATTTCTTTTTTTTAATTAAAAATAATACTTTCCATATCCCCCCTCTCCCAGGCAAAGGTCAAGGGGGGATATGGAAAGTATTATTTTTAATTAAAAAAAAAGAAATTATATATTTATGAATTTGCCCTCCTACCCCCACAGAGACACAATAACTCCCCCCATACACACACTCTGCCACCCACACACAATTACCCCCATACACACACTAACCCCCCATACATACACACTGTCCCCCCATACACACACACTGCCCCACATACACACAATTACTGCCCCATACGCACACACTACCCCAATATACACACACTGCTCCCCCATAAACACACTGCCAACTATACACACACACACATTACCCCCCCATACACATAAATAGTACTCCTCACAAACACTGCACCCCCACACACATACACTGTACTCCTCACACAACCTGCCTCCCCAACACACTGTACCCCTCACACACACTGTACCCCTCATACAATATGCCCCCCCACAAACACTGCACCACTCACACACACTACATCCTACACAAACATAAAGCACCTCCGTACACTCACTGCAACCTTCACACACACTGCACCCCTCACACACACACTGCACCCCTCACACACACACTGCACCCCTCACCCACATACACACTGTACCCCTCACACACACTCCACCACTCACACATACAGGGCCAGTCTTAGGGGGGTGTGAGCAGTGCAGCTATGCAGCTCGGACATGGCCGGCTACCTGGGTGGAGGATTTCATTATTCTACACCCGGGATTAAAAAAATTTTATCCAGCATTGCGGTAGGGGTGGGACTAACCTTGCGGCAAAGGAGGGACTAAAATGATGGTGGGCTGGGCTACAAATGTCGGTTGCATGGGAAGCAGAAAGGAGTCCCGGCTTCTGCAGCAACCAGACCCCAGGAGCTGCACTGCCTTCACTCCTCCCAGACCATAAAGGACAGAGGTAACCATGTATGACTGTTTGTTTGTGAGTGTGTGTGAGTATGTGCAATTGTCTGCCTCTGTGTGTGTGGCTGTCTGCCTGTGTGTGCGTGTGACTGTCTGCCTGTGTGTGTGGCTGTCTGCCTGTGTGTGTGTGTGTGTGTGTGGCTGTCTGCCTGTGTGTGTGTGTGTGTGTGTGACTGCCTGTGTGTGTGTGTGTGTGTGTGACTGTCTGCCTGTGTGTGTGACTGTGTGTTACTGTTTGCCTCTGTGTGTGGGTGTGTGACTGCCTGTGTGTGTGACTGCCTTTGTGTGTCTGTGACTGTCTGCATGTAACTGTGTGTATGTGTGTGTGAGACTGTATGTGTGGCTGTATGTATGTGACTGTCTGTATCTGTATGTGTTTGTCATTGTCTGCCTGTAATTGTGTGTGTGACTGTCTGCCTGTAACGTTGTGTGTGTGTGTTACTGTCTGATTGTAATTGTATGTGCGTGTGACTGTCTGCCTGTACCTGTGTGTGTGACTGTATGTAACTGTGTGTTACTGTCTGTCTGTAACTGTGTGAGTGTGTTTATCTGCCAGTAAGTGTTTATGTGTGTAACTGACTGTACCTGTGTGTTTCTGCCTGATCCTGTGTATTTGACAGTGTATATGTATAACTGTGTGCATGTGACTGTGGGACTGTGTGCATGTGACTCTGCAGTCTGACACATCTGGCATGCACTTCTGTTGGCTGCAGACCATAAGTAGCTGTCTTCCTAGCTCCGGCCAATCAGAGCACTGCTGCAGATTACCACAGGACACTGCAAGTCGCTGAGCTTGCGAGACAGTTACGCATGGTGTGCACCCAGTAGAGGGGTAGACCAGATTCAGATAAGCATGCCCCTCTCCCAACTAGGTGACAACAGGAAAGGAGGAACTAATCTTTGTTTTAAAATCATTATTAATTTAATAAATCCCCTATACAATCATTACACTCTTATACATACACACTATAAAAGGAATGCGAAGATTTTTTTGCACAGGGTGCCTAAGGACCTAAGGCCGGCCCTGCACATATACACATATTGCACCCCTACTGCCCCTATCCCCTACTACAGCCCCAATCCCAGCAAATCCCAGGTAAGTTGTCAAACTGTTCTTAAACAGTTTGGCTACTTACTATGGGAGGGCACTATTGACACCATAACCACTACAAAGTGTTGTAGTGGTTATTGTGTCTGGATTATGTTTCTTTAAATAATCTACCAGTGCCCTTCCCAAGATTAGGTTCTGGATCTGCGCTTGAACAGTAAGCATTTCTGACGAACAGGGGCCCAATATATGCAGCTGCGCTGTACATATATACTACCTAGACTTAGGGCACCTTGAAAAAATATTACAATATTAACGGTGCCTTGAACCTAAAAAGTTTGGAAACCACTGGGATAATTAATTCATATAACAGTCTATCTTTAATTTCTAGGCATGCTGATTTTGCTAGTCTGGGTCAATAGTCTCATTTATTTGCCAAAAAGGAAAATGTGTTCAGTTCTGTTACCTGTGATAAATTGGACTCTGATTTTATCTCCATCATTCCCCAAAGACCCTAAAATAAAAGAAAAAGTATGGTGTCTCTTTAAAGCATGAAGAAGAATATGACCGAGTATATGAAGCCAAAACACAAACTGTTTTTTTGGGGGGTTTTTTAGGTAAAGTTTTAAATGATAATACAGTGCCGTAATATAGCCATGTAGTAATGCTGTGGAAAGCAATAGTGTGAACTGTACTTATAACAGGTGCCTAAGAGCCAAGTGTGGCATGGTGTGTAGGTAAGCAGTATACTATATGCAATTTAGCCTGCGTATCTTGTACTGTAGTTAAACATTATTAAGCATCCTGAACATAATGCTAATGGATGCAGGAAACATGAAATGCACATGCTCATAAAATTTAAATAATAGTAGGTATCCATAGGAGGCTTGACTGCAGCGTGGAACCAGGTAGCCTGAATCATAGCCATTTTAGACAATTTCAGTCGGTACTGGGAAGTGAGGCCAATAAAATAAAAAATAAAAATAAGTGATAAGCGATAAGGTTGAAGCGCCCTGAGAGGACAGTAGGATACTATGTCACCCTCAGCTGGATGATGCAGCGAAAGCAATGTCAAGGGATGTCCACTATAGCATATCTACCCAGGGCAAAGCTTATGGCAAGGAGGGGCTATTCGTAGCACCACCGCATAGGCCCCCCAGGTCGGTAGACCCCATCTGTCTCCCCTGGGCTGTCCTGATTCCACTGCAGAACATTCCATGGCATTGTAGGCACTCAGAGGCTAGGTCAGTCCTTTGTCCCCGCCCCCGACTAGAGTCTGCAGACCCCCTGCCCCCTGCACCTACCCAACACCTCTGATGTCTCCGAGAGTGCATGCTCCTGTATGTCTCTCCTTGCTCCGGCCTCACACTTGCGACAGGTGCGCAAAACCCACGGCCACCGGTACACTGGTAGGTCTGCATCGTCCAGTCCGACAGGGCTCTCATTGCCAGGGACAATGTTCCCTGGGCACCCCCGAACCCAGAGATTGGAGCCTACACTCCCCCATGGGCCATCCCCAGGGGTCCAGCTCCTCTGCATAGCAGTGCTCATGTTGCCGCCATCCAGGGACATAAGTAGTCGATATTGGTCTCAGGGAAAGTCCTCAGTTTTACCCCAGAAAGGGTATGCGCAAATCCCCTTACTCCAGTGAACTAGCGGGCAGCGTACTGGCAGCCCTTGCCAGTTCAGGAGAGCAGGGAGCTCCCGTCCTGGTCTGTGCTTTCCCCATGCGCCCGCGATTACCCCCACCGCGGGGGGGAGAAGGAGGCCGTACCCCGAGCCAGTATGGCCCTCCACAGAGGTATTTATCTTATGGGAATCATTATTTTCTCCTTGGAGCAGAGCTGCGTGGATGTCGCTCATGTGCCGCTCATGTCCAAACTTGTAGTAAGTAGGCTGGGATATCGGTATCGGTGCTCCCTGCATGCAGTTGGCTGCTAACTGGCTCCAAATTGGAGCTAGGTTTATTATCCATGCTGTTATGGCTGTTAATCTGGCTTTGGAGCCCGGGCCCGGAGCCATGATGGTCTACTTCCAGTCAGCCCGGCGGCCCGGCCCCTCCCCCCCCTTCATATGTGTTTTCAAATTCTCTGGAATTCAAACTAAATTCTAAGTAAAATTTACATTTTAGATAAAACTGGAGAAATCTCCAGGTTAGATGGTTTCAGCTTTGCTTTTTTTGCCTCAAATTTGAAATTCACATTAAATCTTAGACAATATACATTTTAGTGAATAACTATGTCAATTTGTATTCTCTTTATTAATACATTCCTCCATAAGACATGTAGAATATTTATTAACTTACTGATGAATCTCTCCAGTTGTATCTTGGTGCTTCTACAGAAAGTGTGGTAAAGCAGCTGTCAGTCCCTACAGCTTGTGGATGATTATTAAAAAATGTGATGCTACTTTTGCACTCTGTTGATTTAAAATAAATATTAGAATAAATACAATTCATTCACATTGAAATTTTGGCAAACATCCACCCCCCAAATACATTGTCTATCACAGAGATACATAATAATAAGAAAGTATTTAACCAGGAAACGTACATTCAGATTGCTCTGGTTTTCAAGTACATCCTGCGGTTACTATTACCCAATTTAATGGTACACATTTTAACTACCTCAGAAGGATGAAGGGCTGAGCCAATGCTGTCAGGATTTGAACCTGCAACCCCTCCAAGGTAGGGTTGAACAGATTCCTATTGATATGGCATTAACACACTTATAGGTCAGTTCTGTTCTTATACTACCTAACCAGCATGCTCTGTGCATAAGATGTATAGAAAGCAGGAGAACCATCTGTATGGGTTTTTTTCTGCTCTCTCTTGTCAGTTATCTCTTCTGCAAAGAGTCCATGCTAGTGATTTGACTAACAGGTGGGAGAAAGACCTATTTTTAAATAGGTTTTTATCCCAGTCTATACATTTGCTAGCACCGTGTATAGATATAATTTTATATTATTTTACTATAGAATAAATGATTATAGGCATGAGTGGTTTTAAAAGCATGCATTTTTAATATATAAGAGGGACACTCTAAGCAGCCAAAGCAACTTCAGCTTAATTAAGTGTTTTACACACATAGATCATGCTCCTGCAATCTCACTGCTCATTTTTTTGCATTTAGGAATTAAATCACTTTGTGTAGCGCTAGACACACCTCCCCTGGCAGAAACTCACACAGCCTCTCCACACACTTCCTGAAAGAGGTCTACATTCTTCCCTTATTGCCCATTGTATTCAGTTTAGAATTTTGTGTCTCCTGCTTTGTTAAACGAACACTCCACACAGAGAATGTACTTCAGCTTGCTTAAGTGCTTTATGTGTATGGAATTTGTCATATTTGTGATAGTGAATAAAATTGCCTGTTACATACCTCACAACATTTCATATAGACAAAGAGCAACAATTTAATTTTAGGGTTGTGAGAGGCCCAGGGCAGGGCTGTTCTGAAACGTTTTAGGCAGGACCGTATTAACATAGGGGCTGATGGAGCTGCAGCTCCAGGCCCATGCCCAGGAAATAGGCCCATTGATTATTTTTTTTAAAAGTTTTTTTTTTTTCTTTTTACACTCTAATTTTAGGGTTTCCACCTAGCTAGTATTTTACTGACACAGCCAGTAATTTGAGACTTCCTGGTCGGTGCCGATACTGCAATAATACTGGCAATAAAAATGCTGGTATTTTTCTCAGTATAAACAGAGATTACAATGCAATACCAGCACTGGCCAGTAGGGGGTCGCTGTGTGTGTAAAGAGGCAGGGCTAGGAAGTTCCAGCATATCCCACCCTGCCTATCTCTACTCACTGATCTGCAGAGGAGTGGCTACAGAGAGTCCAGACAGCAACTCCCAGCCTGCAGAGACAGCCTACAGCTCAGGGAAGTGTGGGATGGGGGAAAGGCAGCAGAGAGACATGGGGAAACTGAGACACTAGGGGACACATGGGGACACTGAGACACTAGGGGACACTGGGAGATATGGGGATACTGAGACACTAAGGGACACTGGGAGACTTTATAACACAGACATGTGGGGAAACAGAGACACTGGGAGACATGGGGAAACTGAGACACTAAGGACACAGTGTCCTTATGTCTCCCAGTTTCCCAATGTCTAACAGATAGTGTCCCTGTGTCTCAGTGTCCCCTAGTCTCCCAGTGTCCATAGTGTCTCAGTGTCCCCATGTCTCCCAGTGTCCCTGGTGTCTCAGTGTCCCCAAGTATCTTAGTGTCCCTAGTGTCTGTGTCCTCATGTCTCCTAGTGTCCCCATGTCTCTTAGTGCCCTAAATGTTTCAATGTCCCAATGTCCTCCAGCCAGTATGCCTGGTGTCTCAGTGTCCCCATGTCTTCAAGTGTCCCCTAGTCCCCCAGTATCCCCTAGTCTTCCAGTGTCCCTATGTGTCCCAGCCAGTGTCCTCTAGTCTCCCAGTGTCTCCTAGTGTCTGTGTCCCCAAGTGTCAGTGCCCCAAGTGTCTCAATGTCCACATTTCTCTCCGTGTCCCCAGGTCTCCCAATGTCCCCTGTCTAAGTGTCCCCATGCCTCTGTGTTCCTAGTGATGTGGGGACCCTGGGAGACAGGGGGACACAGACATTAGGGGACACTGGGAGACATGGTAACAGACACTAGGGGACACTGAGAAACACGGGAATATTGGGGGACACTGGGCGACATGGAGACACAAGAGGACACTGGGAGACATGTGGCGTTGAGACATTGTGATACATAGGGAAACTGTGATATATAGGGTCACTGGGAGACCTGGGGACATTACACTAGGGGACACTGAGAGACTAGGGGACACTGGGAGACATGGAGCACTGAGACACTGTGATACATAGGGACATTGTGAGACCTGGTGTAATTGACACATGGGGACACTGAGTCATGATGGCACTCGGAGACAAGGGGGCACTGGGAGACTAGGGGACACTGGACAACATAGGGACACTAGGAGTCATGGGGAAATTGATACATAGGGACACTGAGACAGTGCGAGACTTGAGACACTGGGAGACAGGGAGACACTGGGAGCAATCCATCTATACCGCAGAATCAAACTGTAAGTAGTTTTTTGGTGATTTTGCAGCATTTTCTCTTATGTCACTCCTTGTGATTTACATCATGTGATGTCACCCATACATAAATAATTATGCAAATTATTAAGGCCGGTATGTTTTTCCAAGATAGGTGGCAACCTTAACTACTTTTCACATACTCTTGCTTAAGTATGGAAACTTAAGAGGGATGTATGGGAACAAAACTTGTGTGGACTGGCTGACAATGAAATTAGTTAACGTAATGCTGACTTTGGTCTCTCTAACACTTTGGCATGTTCCCTTTCTTCTACACTCACTACATACACCTTTTCTCTGTCCCAGACTGTATAACAGGAGCTTCTGCCTGCTAGTAAGAAGGTTAGGAGACAAGTGGACCAGCGAGGGCTAGGGGACAGTCCTTAGAAAGCATTGAGCGAGCGCATCATTAAACTCATTTATGTCAAGCTCAGGATACTGTCTGCGTAGTATGTCCTTAGTTGGCCAGCTTGCATGATTGGCAGGCAGCCTGACATGCATTCATGCCAGGCTGGCCTTCAAATTCTTTAGGCATCAAATCCTTTTTTGGGCATGTTCGCCCCTTTTGGCAGGTTACGTGATTTGTGTCAGTGGCCCACCCTTTTACTGCGCCCATTGACTTCCTGCTGTACTGGACACTGCTATTAGGGGTTATGGATCTACTTGAAAGATGAAAACATAAATTAGAGACAGATTAGCATAGGGTATGTGTTTTCTTATAGCTGCTGTTTTCTTTCCCTCCAGCACCATCTCCATCAGATACATGACACTTGGGAGTGCTCTAGTGTTTTTTTTTCGAAAAGATTCTGTAATTCGGCCCATCATAATTTTTAAGCACCAGGCCCACTTGGCTCTTAATCTGGCCCCGGTTTTAGGTGACTTCCTAATAATGATTTATACAACTAAAATGCAATTTAAAAAAAGAACAATATATCTTATTTACACAGACTGATTTCTAAACACATTTATTATAGTTTAACTACATATTAATTGCTGCGAAGCTCTGTTATCCAATCAGACATGTCAACAATGTAGAGATCCTAGAAAAGAGAGACATTAGGATTGAAAAGAAGGACAGAGGAATATGGGTCCACAATAGGGAATGCCCCTCCTAAATAGGAACATATGATGTCAGCTCTGTGGAGCTTACAGAAGCAGGAGAAACCATCCCTGGCTGTCTAAGGGAGGATGGGACAGAAACAGTGCTGCAGAGCAAAATTTGTGGTTAAACCATTCGTTAAAAAAAGGTTTAAATCCTAAAGCAAAGGAAGTGACAGGGACCTCCTGGCACCATAACAATTTAATTTAAATTAAGTTGTTATGATGCCAATAGTGTTCCTTTAAGGTAGTTGCCTTGATATCTAGAACAGTAATGTTGACATTTGTCCGTGTGCCTTTAGTGACTATCAATCACTAGATGCACTTCTAACTGAAGACTTTAAATATACAATAATTTTTGTAATGCTTCTCTGTGAGGATAATTCTATTAGGCAGGATGGCAATTACCATGTATGTGCAGTTCCACCTTCAATAGCCCCTATGGATTGGCCAAGATCATCCAACTGGCTGATCTCAAATGAAGAACAGTGATGGCTGTGGCAAGAGTGAGACGCCACTGGATTCAATGTTAGTCTAACTTTATTATTTTAATTTAAGCAAGGTGGGGCAACAGACTAAAAATGAAGAGGAACGCGCTAACATTATAAATACCTATAGATAGATAGATAGATAGATAGATAAATAGATAAACAGACAGAGAAACAGACCCAAGCATATACATACATAAAGAAAATTGTGCAGCTGGCACCCAACTAGAGTAAAAATGAAATGAGGTGCTGATACTATGGTAATTTATCACCAGCGTACCCCAAACATAACAATACAAAAATTCTAGAGAATATCGCACTCTCATAACAGGATTAAGGAATGTGTATACAGATTCCAAGAGTTAGGTGCTTAATACACAAGGTGATTCACATCTACATATGTAGATTTCTAGAACTGTAACAATGTTCATTCCCTTGGAGATAACTGCTCCCTGTGATGGTGACATGCATAGTAAGAGTACCGTGTTAATGTAAGTATGGCAGAGGCCAGGGGCGTACCTAGAGCATTTGGCACCCAGGACAGATCCTGTTTTTGGCACACCTTACCTCCCTCTCCCCCCTCCCTCTTTTTTTTATGTATTGCACAATGTATGTATTTCTACAAAACCCCTGGCATGCCCCCTTCGACAAACCCCTGTAGTGTCCCCTTCTACAAAAACCCTGCATTCCCCTTCCACAAATCCCCTGCTCAGCCCCCCTTTATACAAGACCCCTGTCCCAATACAAAACCCCTGCCCTCTTCTACAAAATCTCTGCACCCTTTCACACACAGTTACAGGCAGACAGTCACACACACACACACACACACACACACAGTTACACATACCACCCTTAAACAGACAATATGTACAAACCCACCCTTAGACAGACAATATGTGAGGATGTCATGGTCATTAGAGCTGGCCAGACTTAACATTACATAGAGTAATAGAATAACCATAGACAAGACAAAATAAAGGAACATCAGAGATCAGACAAAGGAGAAAACAAAACCGGGTCAAAGAGGCGAGAAAATCAGAATATTTATGTGGAAAGCCAAGTCAGGATACCAGGGAATCAAAACTGAGTATAACGCATCATTCAGGCCCAACAGGAACTACAACCAGGCAGGGCACATGGGAAAACTGGAGAATATATAGCTAATGAAGCCCTGCGTCATTTCTGCATGTATGATGTTGCGAGAATGATACAAGGTATCAACAATGGTGTAAAAAGGATGCACAGTGGGGAAGAGGCACCCGTGGCATCATAACCACTACAGCACACTTTCGTGGGTATGGTGCTTGAAATATCCCTTTAACATTTAAATAGAAAAATTGGAAAAGTTCAGATTTGTATTCCGGCTTGTATATTTTTGTCTGTGATTTTTTCAATTCCCTAGCAGTCAGTTCTCCAAAATTCATGGTTTAATGAACAAGTCCCATCAGGGCAATTAACTAAAGAGAGAATTTAAAAGCTTCAGTCCAAATGAATAAATTCTCAGCTGTGTTTAAATTTGGCAGTTTGCTTGTATGAAATCTGAACTCAATTTGGATTCCTGAAAATTACCCAACCCAATTTTAACTATTTTTGCAAAGCTCCAGAATATTTTGGCACCTCATGCAACAGCAGAAATGTGTTTCCTCACCTGTAGGATGCTGATATCCACTGGCTGAATTCTCCTGTAACACCTCCAGAGCATCTTCAAATGCTTCTCCCAAAATATCGTGCTCTAGGAAATTCTGATACTGTGCGGAAATACATTGTGTTTACATACAATATAACACAGGCTAATATGAGAAACGCAGAGCTAATTAGAACTTTTTAAAATAATCAAACAAAAATTATACAGGGAGTGCAGAATTATTAGGCAAATGAGTATTTTGACCACATCATTCTCTTTATGCATGTTGTCTTACTCCAAGCTGTATAGGCTCGAAAGCCTACTACCAATTAAGCATATTAGGTGATGTGCATCTCTGTAATGAGAAGGGGTGTGGTCTAATGACATCAACCCCCTATATCAGGTGTGCATAATTATTAGGCAACTTCCTTTCCTTTGGCAAAATGGGTCAAAAGAAGGACTTGACAGGCTCAGAAAAGTAAAAAATAGTGAGATATCTTGCAGAGGGATGCAGCACTCTTAAAATTGCAAAGCTTCTGAAGCGTGATCATCGAACAATCAAGCGTTTCATTCAAAATAGTCAACAGGGTCGCAAGAAGCGTGTGGAAAAACCAAGGCGCAAAATAACTGCCCATGAACTGAGAAAAGTCAAGCGTGCAGCTGCCACGATGCCACTTGCCACCAGTTTGGCCATATTTCAGAGCTGCAACATCACTGGAGTGCCCAAAAGCACAAGGTGTGCAATACTCAGAGACATGGCCAGGGTAAGAAAGGCTGAAAGACGACCACCACTGAACAAGACACACAAGCTGAAACGTCAAGACTGGGCCAAGAAATATCTCAAGACTGATTTTTCTAAGGTTTTATGGACTGATGAAATGAGAGTGAGTCTTGATGGGCCAGATGGATGGGCCCGTGGCTGGATTGGTAAAGGGCAGAGAGCTCCAGTCCGACTCAGACGCCAGCAAGGTGGAGGTGGAGTACTGGTTTGGGCTGGTATCATCAAAGATGAGCTTGTGGGGCCTTTTCGGGTTGAGGATGGAGTCAAGCTCAACTCCCAGTCCTACTGCCAGTTCCTGGAAGACACCCTCTTCAAGCAGTGGTACAGGAAGAAGTCTGCATCCTTCAAGAAAAACATGATTTTCATGCAGGACAATGCTCCATCACACGCGTCCAAGTACTCCACAGCGTGGCTGGCAAGAAAGGGTATAAAGAAGAAAATCTAATGACATGGCCTCCTTGTTCACCTGATCTGAACCCCATTGAGAACCTGTGGTCCATCATCAAATGTGAGATTTACAAGGAGGGAAAACAGTACACCTCTCTGAACAGTGTCTGGGAGGCTGTGGTTGCTGCTGCACGCAATGTTGATGGTGAACAGATCAAAACACTGACAGAATCCATGGATGGCAGGCTTTTGAGTGTCCTTGCAAAGAAAGGTGGCTATATTGGTCACTGATTTGTTTTTGTTTTGTTTTTGAATGTCAGAAATGTATATTTGTGAATGTTGAGATGTTATATTGGTTTCACTGGTAATAATAAATAATTGAAATGGGTATATATTTGTTTTTTGTTAAGTTGCCTAATAATTATGCACAGTAATAGTCACCTGCACACACAGATATCCCCCTAACATAGCTAAAACTAAAAACAAACTAAAAACTACTTCCAAAAATATTCAGCTTTGATATTAATGAGTTTTTTGGGTTCATTGAGAACATGGTTGTTGTTCAATAATAAAATTAATCCTCAAAAATACAACTTGCCTAATAATTCTGCACTCCCTGTAGGAGTAGGAGTAAATATGCCCATAATTATTCTTTTCTTTTTTTTTAGATAAAAAGGATAAAAAGAAAACTAACTAGTAATCATAACATGCAATATTTCCTAATTTTGAATGTTATTGCTTAACCGATACATGTGACTAGGTATTTCAAGCTTCCAAGTTCTACATAAATTATCAAAACATAAATATCCATTTAATACTGATAACAATAGTACTTTTAGATAAGGCAAGCTGGATGCAAGTTGAAAACTACCTTAAAAAGTGCAATTTGGGAAAAAATCTTCAGTTTAGTTCTGGGTTGGAGATTTTTTCCATCTTGCCTAAAATTATGAAAGTTCATCATACCACTGTTTAGTAAATACACCTAAGCTATTGAATAATATCTCTAAAATAGACTTGGAGATTCATTGTGGAAGGACCTGCATTTCAGCCAAATTCATGTGTTCTGGAGAATTCCAAGTTGAATTATAACTGAATTACAGACTAAACGAAATGCAAAATACCAAACTTATTTGTGGGGGATCAATATTCTAAATTCCACCCATGGCACCAAAAAAACAAGAGAGAATATTGATGGGGAAAAAAGATGATTGATGCTCATGAGAGTCAATAAATGTTGATTTTATCCCAGATCAAGTGAAAAGCGAGCAACAGAGGGCAAAACAGGAGGAGACCTGTAAAACAAAAACTATATTTATACATTATATATATGTATATGTTTATTGCATATATCATGTATACAATTGTATTTATTTTTATTTTTTACTGCTTCTATTGGTTTTCAGATGAGATACACTGAGTACCATATTTGAAGTAGATGCAATCAATGTTTAAGTAAAACATACCTTTAATTGAGATGGTTTATTAACAAAAAGACATAAAATGGGATATAGCAGCGTAAAACCTAAAAAGCATATCCCAGAAAAATAGTCAAACTAGTTTCGTGCAATAAGGTACTTAATCTTGGGCACTTTTTCGCATTGTATTAGTGAGCCAAATGGCAGGAAAATGCTCCTATCAGTGTACTTCAAAATATATACATCATATTATATTATGTACGTATCTTGATTCGCACTGATTTGCATTATTACGCCTTTCTGGCTGTTCTTCTGATTCTCAAATCGATATTGAGCCAAGCAGAACCAATATCTGACTAAATGTCTGATGTCCCAATAAATTCACTATCTCTGCAAAAAAAGATTTAACAGAACTGAAATTTCTCGCCGTGTATAAGTCTTTTGTAGATGACATGTCATATACTACATTGGACTATAAATTATGTAGTATATAAATTTTAAAGGTAACTATTGAAAATATACTGTAAGTTAGGGATGAAGATAATTTTTCTACCAGTGATCAACAGGACAGATTAATCTGTTCTAATGGAAGTTATGATTATATAAATATATGGAAAAATGCATTATTATCATTTAGGTACAAAGCATAACGCTAAATATATGGAAAAAATTATTATTGATTGTTTTGACTTTTTCTTTATTCTTCTGCGTTAATATACTATATATATAGTTAATAAAATGGAAAATACTAAAACACTGCAAAACCTTTTGTCACTCAGATATCTGAGTGAAGTTTTTTTTACCTGTTTGTTAACCTGCGGTTGTTAACTGCGTTGTTAACATAATCATTTTACAATGCAGATCAAAAGATCATTCAAAAGAAAAAAAGCTGACAAATGTATTTAAAATTTAGAGACATAGTGCGAAAGAGCCTTGTATATAAAAAAAAAAAACAATCAATGAATCAAATACTCTAAAAAAAAGAGATAGAGAGTGAAAGCTATGGAAATATAGAAAAGTTGGTGTTGGTATCTATTTACTTAACTAAAAAGTAGATTGTGTATTTGTTAATAATCCTTGGAGATATGGCTATTAAAGTTAAAAAAAAAATGCAATATAGTATACAGTACATTCACTAAACAGTGAGAGTTACTCATTAAACTGTAAATTGTGTGTTTATGGGAGAATGGCAAATTTAAGATCGAAATATCTTAGCTGGAAATATTGCTAAATTGGAGGATTTGGTTATTTTGGGCCAATAAATTGCAAGTCACTGGAGATTTCCCGACAATCCAAATGTTAGTGAATAACTCACATTTTAAATTACTTGAAATCTTTCTCAAAATCAAATAATAAACTCCTTAAATTAAATTTAAATAACAATTGTTTCACTTTATAAGTAACTCTCACACAAAACGCAAACGCTTGTTTTCGATAATTGTTTTCAATTTATAATGCCTAACTTAAGTATCCATCTACTGTTGAATTCTTCAAGAATTGGTTAACATTGGAAATAACAGTAAAATTACTTATGCAACATATTATTAACAGCTCAAAAATAAAATATGAAAATAATAAAAAAAAATTTTGCACAATTACAGCAAGTAGAAATAAATATTTTTCCCCAACTGCTGCAGGCAAACGATAATTTAATTTCTCTGCAATTCAGTCTTTAGTTAATAAACCCCCATAAGTCATAAAAGGGAAATAAGCAAACTTTTTTTATATATATACTTTATACTTTAGTATATAATGATAAATAAAATCCATAAAAAGTTAAAAAAAATGTTTAATATCTTTAGAAAAAAAATAACTTTTGGAAAAATTTGAAATATTTTTTATTTTATTTCTAATTTATCCAACTGAGTCTGCACCACTGATTCTACTGACTCCTTTTGGCACTAAGAGAATAATAGACACCAAATAGCAGTGAAGTGAAAATTGAATTTCAAAATGTAGCCAAAAAGGTCCAGTTTAGAAACAATTTCTTATTCAGCTATAGTTATAGCCTGGCTATTTTAGACAAAATTTTAGTATATATTTGCTAAAGTGAGAATTCAAAGTAAATTTCAAATATTAAGTCAGGTTAGTTGAAGCATAGATAGCTATTTTTGTACCTTGAGAAATTCACTTTGAATTCTCTAGTTAGTAAATAAAATATAAATAGAGTAAAAAGTGTTG